GGGCATTGTGGCAGGTGCCTGTAGTCCCAGCTGCTTGGGAGGCTGAGGCAAGAGAATCACCTAAGCCCAGGATTTGGACGTTGCTATGAACTGTGACACTACGGCACTCTACCGAGGGCAGTAAATGTTCACACACACACACACGCACACACACACATATATATAAAACTCATATAAACAAATAAATGTTCTATGGTGTCCCCAGTAATTTTAACAATATGAAGGGGTCCTGAGGTCTATTAGTTTGAGAACTGTTAGTATACAGCAATGAAAATGAATAAATTATAACTATACTGAACAACAACAAATTACAACTATCTCATACACATGATGTTGAGTGAAAGCAGACAGACACAAAAGAAAATATAGTATGTGCTTTTCATTTTATAACATTCAAAACAGCAAAAACTGATCTATTTAGAGAAGCCAACAACATGGCTCCCCCCAGGAGGGCAGGTCATGTTCTGCTGTTAACCTGGGCACTAGTTATACAGTTGTGTTTGGCTTGTGAAAATTCACTGAGCTGCTTACTTATGGTTTGTGCAGATTATACTTTAGTAAAAAGAAATTTCTTTTTTGGAGACATAGTCTCACTCTTTGTCGGGGCATGAGGACAGTGGTGTGGTCATAGCTTACACCTCAAACTCCCTGGTTCAAGAGATACTCCTGCCTCAGTGTCCCAAGTAGCTGGGACTACAGGGACATGTCACCACACTAGCTAATTGTTCTATTTTTTTGTAGAGACAGGGTCTCACTATGTTGCTCAGACTAGTTTCGAACTCTTGGCCTCAAGTGATTCTCCCATCTCTGCCTCCTAAAGTGCTGACGTTACAGGGATGAGCCATAGCACTTGGCCTAAATAAATATAAATATATATATAAATATAAATATGTGTATATATATGATGTATATATACACACACACACATATACACCTGTAATCCTAGCACTCTGGGAGGCCAAGGCAGGTGGATTGCTTGAGATCAGAAGTTCTAGACAAGCCTAAGCAAGAGTGAGACCCATCTCTACTAAAAATAGAAAATGTAGCTGGGCGATGTGGTGAGTGCCTGTAGTCCCAGCTACTCAGAAGGCTGAGACAAGAGGATTGCTTGAACCCCAGAATTTGAGGTTGTTATGAGCTCTGACTCCATGGTCACTCTACCCAGGGTGACAGAGTGAGACTCTGTCTCAAAACAAACAAACAAAAAAGAAATATTTTTAACAATTTATCCAGCAGGGTACTGACTCATCAGGGTACCTACTGGAGCAAGATTGTGGCCATGCCTTAATCCTTTGTTGCTGCTTTGAGGGCAGGTTCTAGAGGTCCAGAGGAATAGTTAGGGTAGAGATGAAGGGGTGCTCAGGGCAGTAGCTAATTTTGAACCAATGTGGAAGTATGTCAGTATTTTAATATTGGGTGTATCCTTATGGGTGAGTGTTACCCGAGTGCCAGCCCTGCTCCATGGTTCTGTCTACCCCCACCCTACCTGCAGTGAACAGCCTGGGCATCAGCGAAGAGCTGAAGGAGAAGCTTCGGGATGTGATGGTAGACCGGCACAAGGTGGCCCTGGGGAAGACCCTGGGAGAAGGTGAGTCCCCTTAGCATTCACATGTCTTCCTAAACCCTGAGATCCTCCACTTTCCCACCCCTACCCAACTATAGGAAATACAATCCCCACAGGTCCCACCTGAGATCAATGTCTCCCTCCCACCCTTTACAGGAGAGTTTGGTGCCGTGATGGAGGGCCAGCTCAACCAGGACGACTCCGTCCTCAAAGTGGCTGTGAAGACGATGAAGAGTGAGTCTGGGCATGCATGTGCACACACATGGGACCCCCCAACCCTTCCCCTATGGCCCCGGGGAGGCAGGAGGGCAGCAGTTGATGGCAAATTAGCCTCAGCATAGAACCCAGTGTTTCCAGATGGGAAATGGAGCCCATGCCAGATATTCCAATAGAAGGAAATGAAAATAGAGAGTGTCCTGAACTGTAAAATGGGATTATCATGATATGCGGTCCCCAGAGCTGGTGGGAAGGTTCCAGGAAGCTGCCTAGGGTGGTAGTGAGCACATGGACCCTGGGATCAGACTGCCTGGATCTAAATCCTTCCTACTCCACTTCCACGCTGTGTGCTCCTAGGCAAGTTGCTTAAGTTTTTATGCCTTTGTTTTCTCATCTTTAAAGTTTCTTCATCTTTAAAGTAGGGATGATAACAGTAGTGCCTCAGAGGATTAAATGAGTTAATCCATGTAAACTGCTGTGTACAGCACTTGGTATTTACTATGGTAATCATGTTTGATAAAGATGAAATGATGATGAGGAGCATCCTCTCTCTGTCATCCTCATCCACCTTCTTCTTTCCCCCAAGTTGCCATCTGCACAAGGTCAGAGCTGGAGGATTTCCTGAGTGAAGCTGTCTGCATGAAGGAATTCGACCACCCCAATGTCATGCGGCTCATCGGTGAGGGAGGGACAGATTCAAGGGGTCTACAGGCCCCAAGGTGCCACACCGGAGGGGACACCCTTCCCTCTGGCACTGGGAAGATCAAACCTCCAGGCTTCCTGCTACCCCCTCCTTCAAAGTCTGCAGGCTCCCCCTCCCACTCTCCCTCAGCTTGGAATGTGACCTCTGACCATTCCCAGAAATAGCTGAGTTCCCCAGGAGGGCTCCGGAAACATCCCTGGGAACTCTGCTGGAAATGGCTTCCCTGAAGCTTGGTCCTTACCACACCCCTCCAAAGCCGAGGCTAGATTTGAGGGGGAGGCAGAAGGACAGGCTGGAGTCTGGCTAGGGTGGGGGTTGGCTTCACCTAGCAGGAGTGACAGTGCTGCCCTGGGGTGTCTCAGGTGTCTGTTTCCAGGGTTCTGAACGAGAGGGCTTCCCAGCCCCTGTGGTCATCTTGCCTTTCATGAAACATGGAGACTTACACAGCTTCCTCCTCTACTCGAGGCTCGGGGACCAGCCAATGGTGAGAGGCATTTCATCATTGAGTCCACTAATTGAGCATCTATTGGGTACTCAGCACTACTCAGATACCAGGTAGACTGTGGCAACGGAGAGCTTGCTGCCATGGATCACGTGTTCCAGTGAGGGGACCAGCAATAAATAAGCTAAACAAATACATAAGCAAGGTAATTTAAGTGCTAGGAAGTAAGATAAACGATAAGGAGGTCAGGCCACTAGTTGGTGGACAGGAAAGGCCCCAATGAGGAGGTGACCTTAAAGAAGGAGGGGTGGGGAGAATGTATGGAGTTTTGGGCCACAAGCAGTCCCAACAGAGGGCACAGCAGGCGAAGGCTTAGAGGTGGGAACAGGCATGGCAGACAAGAAGCCTCTGGCTGGAGTGTCTATCAAGTGTAAGAACATAGGAAATCAAGTCAGAGAGTAAGGCAGGGAGAGAGACAGGAGCCTTATAGGGCATCCTGGGCCGTGCAAAGGGGTTGGATTTAATTCTCAGAGCCATAGGGAACCACCACAGGCAGAGATAGGCAGGAAGAAAGGAGAGATGGATCTCGGGGGCTCTGCTGACCTCTGTTCCTCCCAAACCTGGCCCCCTAGTTCCTGCCCACTCAGATGCTAGTGAAGTTCATGGCAGACATCGCCAGTGGCATGGAATATCTGAGTACCAAGAGATTCATACACCGGGACTTGGCTGCCAGGAATTGCATGTGAGTGTCTAGTCTTTGAAAGCACTCCCCTCAACCTCCTACTCCTTCCCGGGATGGAAAGGGGTCTAGGTACTCCCTCAGAGCAGCTCAGAACTTAGAACTTGGGTAGCTTAGTCAGCAAAGGGGTATGGGAAGGCTTTCTGGAGGAGGTGGACCCTGAACTGAGATCTTAAAGGAGTATTGGGGTGTGGAGAGAGAAGAGAGGACAGGCTTAGTATACATAACATGAGGTGAGTAAAGGGGAGTGGTGACATGACAGCCTCTCCTCTGTCCCTCTCTATGCTGAGTGGCTACCCTTGGGAAGGGGCCACATTGGATAAAAAGACCAGACTCCCCGCCAAGGGACAAGCAGAATATAGGCCAGAACCAGGCTGGGCATGGTGGTGTACACACGTAATCTCTGTGCCCGGCCCCTTTTTATACTTTTATGGCATATTCTTTTGGATGTCCCTCATGTAAGAGTGTCTATTTCCTTGTGATGGCATTTGCCTTGTTCTGCTGTCCCCTGTATTTCCTATAAACTGGAAGGTACTTCTAAAATCTTGAATAGATTGAGTCGGAATGAAAATTCCTTTATTTCTATAATTTGGGCTGATTCCTATCAAGTCTTCTCTGTGGCAATGACACTGAGAATCAAGATGTATCGTCAACTGTTATGTACCTGTTGAGTTTGGGGTTAAGTTCAAAGATCAAAATACTTCGTTACCTGGCTACTGACCACTACCCCGAGCCTCCCACATATTCCATAGCCACATGACCTGCAGTACCTCCCATGGATGCAGCAGTTCAAAGTCATCTCTTTGCATATCTGAGGCTTCCAAGGGCTCTTCTGGCTGGTCATTGCCTGAGCCCATGTCTCTGGCTAGGAATTATGAATTCTTTAAAAAGTAGGACTCTAGGCTGTGCACTGTGGCTCATGCCTGTAATCCTAACACTCTGGGAGTTTGAGGTAGGAAGATTCCTGGAGCTCAGGAGTTCCAGACCAGCCTGAGCAAGAGCGAGACCTCGTCTCTACTAAGAATAGAAAAACTAGCTAGGCATTGTGGTGGGCACCTGTAGTCCCAGCTACTTGGAAGGTTGAGGCAGGAGTATTGCTTGAGCCCAGGAGTTTCAGGTTGCTGTGAGCCATGATTACACCATAACACTATACCCAGAGTGAGACTTCATCTCAACAACAACAACAAAAAAGTAGAACTCCATAAGATCAGATGCAAGAATCAGGGAATCTTCTATTTATATAAAGCACAAAATCAAGCAAAAGTAGTGGGCACCACTAAAGGTGAAGATGGTGGTTACCCTTGGAGGGGTACTTACTAGAAGGGAGTGGAGACTGGTAATGTGGGCTCTCTCTCTCTCTCTTTTTCTTGAAACAGTCTCATTTTGTTGCCCTCGGTAGAATGTTGTGGCATCATAGCTCACAGCAACCTCAAATTCTTGGGCTCAAGTCTCTTGTCTCAGCCTCCCAAGTAGCTGGAACTACAGGCACCCGTCACCACACCCAGCTAGTTTTAAAGACAGAGTCTTGATTTTGTTCAGGCTGGTCTTGAACTAAGCTCAAGCGATCCACCCACCTCAGCCTCCCAGAGTGCTAGGATTACAGGCATGAGCCACCACACCCAGTCTTTCTTTCTTATGCCTCAAAAAAAAAAAATTGATGTATATTTCACATACACTGAGACACATTGTATATGTCATTGTGTATGTGCAGCTCAATGAACTTTCATGTGTGTGCAGACTGGCATAACCACCACTAGATCAGCCTCCCTCGTGCTCCTTCCCAGTCGTTGCCCACAATAGTAACCACTATTCTGATTTCTGTCACCAGCACCAGTTTCATCTGTTCTTCAGTGGTGTCCAAGTGGGCTCATGTAGTTTGTACTCATTTGTATCTGGTGTCATTGGCACAATATGTTTCTCAGATGAATCCATGTTGTTGTGTGTGTCAGTGGTTTGTTCTTTTTCCTAGCTGTGTGGAATTCCATTGCATGGACATCTGTCCTGTGGATGTTCTGTTTCTTTTTATTTATTTATTTATTTGAGACAGAGTCTCACTCTGTTGACCTGGGTAGAGTGCTGTGGCATCATAGCTCACAGAAACCTCAAGCTCTTGGGTTCAAGTGATCCACTTGCCTCAGCCTCCCAAGTAGCTGGTACTACAGGTGCCCACTACAGTGCCTGGCTACTTTTAGAGACAGGGTCTCACTCTTACTCAAGCTGGTCTCAAACTCCTGAGCTCAAGCAATCCACTTACCACTAGCACTTGTTACCAAAGTGCTAACATCACAAGCGTGAGCCACTGTGCCCCACAGGATGTTCTGGTTCTGGTTACATAGGTGTTTTGGTGAAAACTCAGTGAGCTGAATTACTTATCACTTGTGATTACTTACACTTAGGATCTGTGCACCTTTCTTTATGTATAGCATACTTTAAGAAAACTATTTGTGGCTCGGCACCTATAGCTCAACCGGCTAAGGCGCCAGCCACGTACACCTAAGGTGGCGGGTTCGAATCCCCAGCCCGGACCCGCCAAACAACAATGACGGCTGCAACCAAAAAATAGCCTGGCGTTGTGGCGGGCGCCTGTGGTCCCAGCTGCTTGGGAGGCAGAGGCAGGAGACTCGCTTGAGCCCAGGAGTTGGAGGTTGCTGTGAGCTGTAATGCCATGGCACTCTACCCAGGGGGACAGCTTGAGGCTCTGTCTCAAAAAAAAAAAAAAAAGAAAAAAGAAAACTATTTGTTTTGTTTGAGACAGTCTTACTCTGTCACCCTGGGTAGAGTGCTGTGACATCATCATAGCTCACAATAACCTCAAACTCCTGGGCTCAAGTTTCCCGAATAGCTGAGTAGCTAAGGATTACAGGCTTTTGCCATGTTGCCCAGCTAGTTTTTCTAGTTTTTTAGTAGAGATGTGGTCTCATTCTTGCTCAGGCTGGTCTTGAACTTGTGAGCTTAAGCAATCCACTCACCTTGGCTTCCCACAATGCTAGGATCACAGGTGTGAGCCACCATTCCTGCTCTTTTTTTTTTTTCAATCAGAGAATCAAACCCAAGGAGCCTTAGGAAGGATCTTAGAATCTGGCAAAAAGCCAAAGCTGGGAAGGCCTTAGGAAGTTCCTTGTTCCATCCTAATTTTACAGAGGAAACAAGAAGTGAAGCAGTTTCCTCCCGGACTGGGGCCAGGGGTTGGGACACAGATCCCCACCCCTAGACAGGACAGCAAGGGCAAGAGGCTAAGATGTGTCTGAAAGCCATGACAGGCACCCCAATGGAGGTGACTGACATGCTGACTGTTTGTCTTCCCAATCCGGGCAGGCTGAATGAGAATATGTCCGTGTGTGTGGCAGACTTTGGGCTGTCCAAGAAGATCTACAATGGGGACTATTACCGCCAGGGACGCATTGCCAAGATGCCGGTCAAGTGGATTGCTATTGAGAGCCTGGCTGACCGCGTCTATACCAGCAAGAGTGATGTGGTATGTATACCCCACCAGAAATGGGGAACCATCAGAGGGCATGTCCTGACCATCACCTGCCCTGCTTCTGTAGCTGTGGACATGGGACTTAAAGGGACTTGTGGACTTCCTTGCACAAGGGCATGTCCATGCAGGCTGGGCATGTCCGTGCAGGCTGGGCATGTCTGGGGGCATGTGGACTTCTGTGCACACACCCAGGACATATACAGACCCATGTGTGCATAGTGGTAGTGTGGACAGTTCAGGTTAGGAGAAGCAGCAGTGACAGAGCATGCATGTGCCCAAACTCATACAATGTGTACAGCCAGGATGTGCAGGATGACACGTAACATCATGTGTCCGTGAAGGGGGTAAACGTGTATGAGAGTGAGCATATCTGTGCATCCGCAAAATTCATCTATATGTGTGTTCACACCTGTGACAACATATTTCTCTGAATATTGGGTTGCACCTATTGGGATAGCTGTGAACACACGTACATAAGTGTGTCTGTGCCCATGAACCTGTTTTGGGGGAGTGACCTTGTACAGGAAAGACTCCCTAATCACTCCCTTCTGTCTCTCACAGTGGTCTTTTGGGGTGACAATGTGGGAGATTGCCACACGGGGCCAAACCCCATACCCAGGAGTGGAGAACAGCGAGATTTACGACTACCTGCGCCAGGGAAATCGCCTGAAGCAGCCTGTGGACTGTCTGGATGGACTGTGAGGACCCTTAGGACCCTCAGGACCCTCTCCTTCAATCTCAGAGTTCACTCCAAACCCCAAAGCTTTCCCACATGGCTCTAACATATCCAGAGCCCTCTGAAACCTGGACAGAATCTCTCAGAATATTGCTTTGAGTAGGACCACCACTAGCCAACCAGGTGTAAATGAGCTAAAGGTTCCACTTCTCCCTTGCCTTGTGCATGGGATGCAGGCTGGATCAGCCCCTTTCTCCCTCCTCCAGGGTATAACCGTGCAATCTTGCTTGGTGGCCCTGCCTCTGGGACCCTCTACTCCCAGAGACCTCTAATTCATCCCAGATTCCTGAGCACCCCACACTTCCCCCAGATGCTCAACATCCAGGTCTCTGTGTAGGACCCTCCAGTTTGCAGACTCTTAGGTATCCCCTGAGATGTTCACAGGATCAGTCAGGACATGTTATCAACCTTTACGGTGTCAGGGTATGTGCAGAAAGGCATGACATTTAGCCAGCACTTTGAAGGAAAAGAGAATGTGTGGCTAGGTGTGGTGGCTCACGCCTATAATCCTAGCACTCTGGGAGGCCAAGGTGGGTGATCGCTTAAGTAATAGTTCAAGACCAGCCTGAGCAAGAGCAACACCCTGCCTCTACTAATAATAGAAAAACTAGCTGGGTATGATGGTGGGTACACAAGTGGTCCTAGCTACTTGTAAAGCCGAGGCAGGAGGCTCACTTAAGCCCAGGAGTGTGAGATTGCTGTGAGGTGAGCTATGATGATGCCGTGGCTTTAGCCTGGGTGATAGAGTGATACTCTGTCTCAAATTTATTTTTTTATTTGATTTATTTTATTTTTTGAGATAAAGTCTCACTTTGCCACCTTTGATAGACTGTCATGGTGTCTTAGCTCACAGCAATCTCAAACTCTTGGGCTCAAGTGATTCTCTTGCCTCAGCCTCCCAAGTAGCTGGCACTACAGGCACTCGCCACAACACCTGGCTATTTTTAGAGATGGGGTCTTGCTCTGGCTCAGGCTGTCTCCAGCTCCTGAGTTCAGGCAGTCCACTTGCCTCAGCCTCCTAGAGTGCTAGGATTACAAGCATGAGCCACTATGCCCAGCCTTCTGTCTCAAATTTTAAAAAATATAAAAGAAAGAGGGGATGGGGTGGCACCTGTGGCTCAATGGGTAGGGCGCTGGCCCCATATACCGACGGTGGTGGGTTCGAACCCGGCCCTGGCCAAACTGCAACAACAACAACAAAAATAGCTGGGCATTCCAGTGGGTGCCTGTAGTCCCAGCTACTTGGGAGGCTGAGGCAAGAGAATCACCTAAGCTCAGGAGTTTGAGGTTGCTATGAGCTGTGGCACCACAGCACTCTACCTAGGGCAATAAAGTGAAACTCTGTCTCTAAAGAAAAAAAAAAAAGAAAGAGGGGATGTTGCTTGGATCAAGAGGAGACACCTTGGGGCTTCAGACTCCCCTGGTCATCCTTAGGCACTCCAAGTCAAGGATAGAAACAATAATAGCTAACATTTTTTTTTTTTTGGAGACAGAGCCTCAAGCTATTCCCTTGGGTAGAGTGCTGTGGCATCACAGCTCATAACAACCTCTAACTCCTGGGCTCAAGTGAGTCTCCTGCCTGAGCCGCCCAAGTAGCTGGGACCACAGGTGCCTGCCACAATGCCTGGCAATTTTTTGGTTGCAGCCATCATTGTTGTTTGACAGGCCGGGGCTGGATTTGAACCCACCACCTTAGGTGTATGTGGCTGGCGCCTCAGCCACTAGAGCCACAGGCACTAAGCCAACTTATTTGTTCTTTACCACAGCCACATGAGGTAGATTGGTATCATTAACGGTTAGTCATTTGCCAGAGGTTGCACAGCTGGTGTATTAGTAATCTATATACCCAAATTTAGCAGGTTAAAACAACAAACATTACCTCACACATTTTTTGAAAGTCATGAGTTTGGGAACAGCTTAGTGGGGTAATTCTGGCTCAGGGTTTTTCTTTTTTTTTTTCTTGAGACAGAGTCTTATTATGTTGCCCTCAGTAAAGTGCTATAGCATCACAGCTCACAGCAACCTCAAAGTCTTCAGCTTGAGTGATTCTCTTGCCTCAGCCTCCCAAGTAGCTGGGACTACAGGAGCTCTCCACAATACTGGCTATTTTTTTGTTGCCATTGTCGCTGTTGTTTAGCATGCCTGGTTTGGGATTAAACCCGCCAGCCTCAGTGCATGTGTTTGGTGCCCTGATGGCTCAGGGTTTCTAATGAGGTTATAGTTGAGATGTTACCTGGGGCTGTAGTCATCTGAATGCTGGGACTGGATGATCACTTTCAAGGTGGCTCATGTATATGGCCAAGGCCAAAGGCCTCAGTTCCTTGCCACGTGCACCCTTTGAAAGTGCCGTTTGAGCTTCCTCACAACATAGTTGGTGATCCAATACGAAGTGCAAGGAGGAAGCCACAATGCCTTCTATGACCTAGTCTCAGAAGTCACACCATCACTTCTGCCAAGTCAGAAACAAGTCACTAAGTCCTGCCCATACTCTAAGAAAGGGGATTTAGTCTCCATCTTTTGCAGAGACGAGGGTCAAAGATTGTATGTGGACATATTTTATTTATTTTTTAGACAGAGTCTTAAGCTGTCACCCTGGGTAGAGTGCTGTAGTGTCACAGCTCACAGCAACCTCAAACTCTTAGGCTTAAGTGATTCTCTTGCCTCAGCCTCCCAAGTAACTGGGACTACAGGCACCCTCCACAACGCCCGGCTATTTTTTGGTTGTAGCTGTCATTGGTGTTTAGCAAGCCCGGGCTAGATTCGAACCTGCCAGCTCTGGTGTATGTGGCTGGCGCCCTAACCACTGAGCTACAGTGCTGAGCCAACATATTTTATTTATATTACGTTTCAAGACACTCAGTTGTCCTGGGTAAAGTGCCATGGCATCATCATAGCTCACAACAATCTCAAACTCCTGGGCTCAAGCAAGCCTCCTACCTCAGCTCTCAGGACCCGAGCTAGGACTACAGTAGCTGGGACTATAGGCATGTGGCACTATGCTCCAATAGTTTTTCTATTTTTAGTGGAGACAGGGTCTTGGTCTTGCTCAGCTGGTCTTGAACTCCTAAGCTCAAGCAATCCACTCACCTTGGTGTCACAGTGTGCTAGGATTACAGGTGTGAGCCACCATGCCCAGGCTATGGACCTATTTTAAACCAGCACAGCTTGTAAGTGGCAGAGGCAGCCTGTGATGCCAGAGTCTGTTCTAGAGGCAACACTGGAAATCTCTGCTCTAGCACCTTCATTAAACACTAACC